CTGATTGGCTGATTTAATTAATTATTAAAAATCTTTTTAATATTTTTAAAATTGAATAACTTTTGATCTACTGGTCCGATTTGGATAATTTAACAGTCAAAATGTTTATATTGATGAGACAATTCTAATAAGTCTAAAATTGCTAAAATCTAATTACAGGATCCTGAGATCGTTAAGGTTTTTGTACTATTTCGTATATAATAAAATTAATTTTATTATATACAAAATAGAACAAGAAACTTTAATGATCTCAGGATCCTGTAATTGGATTTTAGCGATTTTAGACTTATTAGAATCGTCTCATCAATATGAACATTTTGACAGTTAAATTATACAAATCGAACTAGTAGATCAAAAGTTATTTAATATTAAAGATTTATTAAAATATATATATAATTTATAAATTAAGAGATTTATATTTTGGTGCACCCTGCACTGTGATGCACCTCCTGATCATGGGTATAAATAATGATCATCAATTATATCAGATTAGTTGATTTTTTTTTTTTACATAACATTTAGCTAATTTTTTTTTTTTTTGCAGATACAGAATACTGTTTGCGTCCCTGTAATTGGAGAATCGCCAGGGAGGATTTCATCACTTTTGGTTCCGTGTTTGGAGTTATTGTCACTGTAGTCTGTATAACTAGTGGTAGGTTTTATCACTCTTGTGCCATGTTGTTTTGCTAGTGGTGAGTTTTGGAGTCTTTGTTTCACCTTGTTTCTTTCATTTTGTGTAAGAGCCTTTCTTATATAATGGTTAACTAACATCTACCTTTTTTTTTTCAGAACAGTCAATGGTTGGAAATTGCTCTTGTTGAAGTTATTGTATTGGAGTCGTTAGAGTTGCTTCACTATAATCAGAGAATCGCCAGTGTATATTTTGTCACTTTTGGTGCTATGTTATTTTGGTATTGCTATCACTATAGTTGGAGTAACTAATTGGTAAAGTTTTATCACTTTTATACCATGTTGTTTTGCTGGTGGTGTTATTAGTTTTTGTTGGCCACCTTGTTTCTTTCATCATACAACATTGAGCTTTTCTTATATAATGCTGTCTAACCTGCTTTTTTTTTTCTAGGCAGTTAACAGTTAGAATTGTGTTTTGTTGAAATCACTATAGTTGGAGTTGCATCCTCATTGTTATGTTGTGTTGTTTAATTTAACTAATGCTCTTCTTTCTAGACGATTGTTAGTCATATCTTCATGCAGTTCTCTTTCTGTTTTCTTGTCTTGCTGATATGTGCGTAATACTATGAAATGTGCCTTGTTGGTTTTGTCGTATTGGTATGCCACTAGTAGTAAATTCGTAGTTGGTAGTTCTGTAACTGGTTCTGCGACTTCATTATTTGTTCCTCGTTGCTAATAGCGAATAGTGACTTAATAGTATTAATATTTTTTTTAGTAGTTGGTTAGAGTTTGGGTTGAGTGGTTTGTTTGGGTTTAGGATTAGGGTTAGGATTAAGATTGGGTAGTTTAGTGGTGTTAGTGCTATAATTTAGTTGTTTTTTAGTATTATATATATAGCAATATATAATGATTCTTGATTTTTTTATAAATAAATTGCAATTATTCAATATGTATTACAACATTATTACTATATATATGATATTTAATATACTAATCAAAAATCTGTATATATTATATAAATCAGTCATGTGTTAGAGGTATACTATAGTACAGATGCACCAAAAAAAACTCCTTTATATATTATATATTTTATTATATTTGATTATATACTATATTATATATATATATATACGTGATCTTTCATCTAACTATGTATCCATGATATAAATCATGTGATTTCTGGCATTCCCTAAATATTCACAATTTATATAGCTAGTTTGTGATTTTAATAGCAGATATATTAATAATTTTAATAATGTAAATTCATAATTTAAACAATATAATGTATTTATAATTTTGGTAGCAAATAAATTTATAATTTTAATAGTGTTATAGTACTGTGGCCTTTTTAATAGCAGTACTATAATAATGATATGGCTACAGGAATCCTTCACAGATTTATAGCAGTGTCTAACAGGTAAGTATAATTTCTACTACAACTAGAAACTATACTCTTCTGTCTATGGCAGTTCGGGCAGACAATAGTTTATAGATAAAGTATAGAGATGCGATCTGGGTCAGGCAAATTCGAGTAATCTGTGGGTTATTCGGGTATCTGGGTAAGATACATTAACCTGGGTGAAAGCAGATATGAAGTTACATAAACATATTAATTGGTACAGCAAATAACTAACCAATCAAATTTACATATTTTTTTGCTTTGATTGAATGCATATGATATCTAGAACTGGGGTATCATTTGCAGGGTAAATATAAAAATTGATATAATCGCACAATCAGTCAATTATGACAGATAGTGATGTAATCGTGTATCAGAAAATAAAGGGTTCGATCTTTGAGA